GCTTCGGTCAGATCTGACCAGGCCCCAGCATGCCCCCTCCCTTTCCAGGAACTTTTCTGTTTTCTGCAACCCTCCCTGGAACACTTTCCCTGGTCTTTACCATCCTGACTGAACTTAAATGTCACTTCCTTAGTAGTGGCCAGTCCACCGAACCCCCCAATTCTGGGTTATCTACTCCAGTACATCCTTCCAGACCCCAGGTGCTGGTCTGGACTGGTGAAGACAGCAGCCTCTGGTTTTGAGCAATCAGAGGTATATCTTGTACCCCAAACTAAAATCTCTTGAGCTGGGTATGGTCCAGCACTCCAGAGGCTGAGGCAGGAGGATTGCTGAGAGTTCAAGGCCAGTCTGGGCTACTTAGTGATACTTTATTTAAAAACTAAAAACTAAAACAAAATAAATGTCATCCAGCAAGAAGATTCTCCGTGGTTTACCTCCAGGACAAGCACTGGGACCTTTCTTTGGACCGTGAATGTTTCCTTGGACAGGTACCATCATCTCAGGAGTCCGTTCACAAGACCCCTGTTAACTGGTCTTTCCAAAGGAGCCTAACTCGGGCCTCCACCGTCACTCAGCCATCCATCTAAATTCATCCACAGTCCACCCACCCACTAGTTTATCCATCCATCTACTATCCACCTATCCACCCACCTAGCATTCATCCATCCATCTCCATCTACCTACCCATTCATCCATCCATCCACTTACCCACCTACCCATCCACCCATTTATCCATTCATATACTTCCCATCCACCCACCCATCAGTCCATCAACCTACCCACCTACCCATTCACCTATCCATCTGTCTATCCACCCATCCATCCACCCACCCATCCATCCATCCACCCACCCATCCATCCATCCTACAACCCTTAAGTGCCCTCTCTGTGTCAGGATCTCTGACATACAGAGATGGAGAAAGATATTGTTCTTGTCCCCAGCAGTTCTGAGTCATCTGGACTTCAAGCTCCAGTTCTTCCTTTAAAGACTATGGGACTATCAGCCACTGTCAGATCAGCCTTGACATGAGCTGTTGCAACAGAAAAGCAGCAGAGTTAAGAGAAAGGTCCCTCTCCCTGAAACCCTTTCCTGGATGCATGGCAAAAATTCCACTTGTGTTTCTTTTTCAAGATTGACTTTTATTTTTTATTTATTATTTATTTATTTATTTATTTATTTATTTGGTTTTTTTGAGACAGGGTCTCCCTGTAGCCCCAGCTGTCCTGGAACTCACTATGTAGACCAGGCTGGCCTTGAATTCACAGAGATCTGCCTGCCTCTGTCTCCCAAGTGCTGGGATTAAAGGCGTGCACCACCACGCCCGGCCCTGACTTTTATTTTTAATTATGATGTGTGTGTATGTGTATGCTGTATCCTGTGGGATCTAGAAGAGTATATCAGATCTCCTGGAGCTGGAGTTACAGGTGGTTGTGAGCTGCCCAGTGTGGGTGCTGGGACACAAAGACTGGTTCTCTGCAAGAGCAGCCAGCACTCTTAACCAGCCATCCCTCCAGCCCCTTTACTGGTGTTTCTAATGAAAGGCAAAGAGAAATTCACTTGTGTAAGTGATTTACTCCTTGCTTGACTCTAAACAGAGTTTCTCTCAATATACATTTGGTGGTAGCAGGAAGGAATGATGGCAAATCACAGTGACGTGTGGTGCATGTGTGGGAGGGTGTGAGACCTGGGGTACACAGGGAGAAATTACTCATTTTACAACAACTTGTAGAAGAACAGTTACAGCTGGGTCACATTATGCCCTCCAGGAGCCCATGGAACACCCCAGTCTTTGTAATAAAGAAAAAGACAGGGGCATGGCGACTGCTACAAGACCTCAGAGCCATAAACAAAACCATGAAAATATGGGGATCACCCCAAAGAGGCCTGCCCATGGTCTCTGCCATCCCCCTTAATACTCCCGTTAGTCCTAGATATAAGACTGCTTTTTCTCCATCCGTTTACACAATAATGATTGCCAACAGGACTCTGAGCATGCATGGCATGAATTGTTTGATTTGGTCTGTCTACTCCACCATTTCAGCCAATAAAACCCTTCCATTCATGCTGGAAGAGTGTTGAGAGACTGACCCAGCATTATGACATTAGGGGTTATAGCTGCACTGCACTGTCTGTCCGACCATCACACGCCACTCCACATCATGGTCTGTCTAATCATTACACTTTACTTCCATTGAGCTCCTCATCGGTGTGACCCTTCAATCGTCTCACATCCATATTCCCAGCCTCTGTACCGTTACTGTCAGCCACCCATAAGCCGGCCGCAGGCATTCCATCCAGTTACCCTTCTGATGATTAATGTTGTCACCTTAATGGAATTTAGAATCAACATGGAAACAAACCTCTGGGCATGTCAGTGAGGAGTCTTCTAGATTAGGTTAATTGAGGCGGGAAGACCAACCCTAAATGTGGTTGGTTCCATTCCACGCTCTGGGGTCCCGGACTGAATAAAAATGAGAAAGGAGCTGAGAAGCAGTGTCATCTCTGCTTTCTGACTGCAGGTGCAGTGCGACCAGCTGTCTCATGCTCCTGCGGCCACACCCTCCCCTCTATGATGGATTATGTTGCTTTTGTCAGAGTTTTTTATGGGGGGGGAGGGTCTTTTTGAGACAGCATCTCTCTGTAGCCCCAGCTGGCTTGGAACTTGCTTTGTAGATCAGGCTGGCCTTGAGCTCACAGAGATCCACCTGCCTCTGCCTCCCAAAGTGCTGAGATTAAAGGCGTGCGCCACCACGCCTGGCTTTTTGTCAGGAATTTTGTCCCAGCAATGAGAAAAGTAAGACACCTTCCAAACCTACTCATTTATCTCATCATCCCCACCTCTCCATCTACCCAGATTCACTCCTCCAAACTATCATCCACCCACCCATCCAGCCGTCATTCCTGCACCGTGATCTATTCATCCATCCATCTAATCACCCAGCATAGTTTCCCATTCATTCATCCATCTCTCCCATGCTTGATGACAGCCTTCTAGTGACCGAGACTCTGGCTCTGTGGTGCCAGTTGCAGAGTCCTTCAATGTGGCCCCAGGGACCCTGGATTTTGTCTGCACAGAGGATAGGGCCTGGGCCTCTGCTTAGCACCAGTTAGATGGACCAGGACCTATTTGGTCCTATGGCAGCAACGTGCTCCTAATGTCATCACCACCTCTCTGGATGTCCCTCCCACCCCTTCCCGTGCTCCTGATGTCATCACCACCCTGTCTGGATGTCCCTCCCACCCCTTCCCATGCTCCTGATGTCATCACCACCCTGCCGGGTGGTCCTTCCCACCCCTTCCCAAGCTCCTGATGTCATCCCCCCCCTGTCTGGATTGCCCTCCCCCCCCTTCCCATGCTCCTGATGTCATCACCACCCTGCCGGGTGGTCCTTCCCACCCCTTCCCAAGCTCCTGATGTCATCCCCCCCCTGTCTGGATTGCCCTCCCCCCCCTTCCCATGCTCCTGCTGTCATCACCACCCTGCCGGGTGGTCCTTCCCACCCCTTCCCAAGCTCCTGATGTCATCCCCCCCCTGTCTGGATTGCCCTCCCCCCCCTTCCCATGCTCCTGCTGTCATCACCACCCTGCCGGGTGGTCCTTCCCACCCCTTCCCAAGCTCCTGATGTCATCCCCCCCCTGTCTGGATGTCCCTCCCACCCCTTCCCATGCTCCTGATGTCATCACCACCTCTCTGGATGTCCCTCCCACCCCTTCCCTTATGCTGGCTCCTTGACTCATCTGCTGTCATCTTCAGTGTGAAGTCCTAGTACTGGGCAGCAGTTGGCTCCATTTCCAGCTCACTGATCTCTTGCTCCAATCTGTTTAGCAATGGTATACTACTGCTGGTGGCTTTCCTTTGGGGGACCAGCCCCCCCAACTTTCTGTTCATAAGCAAACCCTGCCTGTGAACTAAAGTTCCTGGGAAAGAAGCTGTACCTTACAGTGACTCTTCTTCAAAGACTGATGGGCTCATTGGCACTTCAGTAATTGTGGAGAGGTTGGAATGCTGCTTGTCTGGAGCCTAATTACAGTTTGTCTTGGGCTGTCTTCAGCCCCCTAAATAGTCATTCCTTGCATACCTCTGACCTAAAGTCTTATGACTAGCAGGTGAAACCTTTTTTTAAAAAAAAATTGGTTTTCTTTTTTTTTTAATGTATGTGTTTTGCCTGTATGTATGTAAGAGCACCACAAGCATGCCGTGCCCACAGAGGCTTGAAGAGGGCATTGGATCCCCTGGAACTGGAGTTATGGATGGTTGTTAGCCACCATGTAGGTACTGGAAATTAAACCCTGGTCCTCTGCAAGAGCAGCCAGTGCTCTTAACTGCTGAGCCATCTCTCCAGCTCCAAAACCTTTTGAAATGTATTAATAGACCATTAACTTCCCCCAACCCAAAAGCTAAGGAAGTCCTTGGATACCATCTGAGGTCTACACCAGAGGTTCCTGTTTTCCTATAACCTGCCTATGCAATGTTTTCACCAATGTATTTGAAGGGTCTTGGTTTATAACTCTCTTTGTTCTGTTAACTATAAAAACTTCATGATCATGGAATTCTTTCCCTGGCCACTGTCACACACATTTGGCTCCAGAATAAACTATCTCTTACCTCCTTTGAGGTGAGAGCTGTGTTTTTTATGTCAGCTTCCCTAAATCCAGCTTCCTGGAGCCTGTGTGAGGGAGGTGTTCTGTAGCTGTGGGTTTCTATCCACACTGAATCCAGTTCAAGTTGGATCTTATATATATATATATTTTATTTTTATTTTATGTGTATGAGTGTATTGCCTGCATGTATGTGAGGGCACCGGTGTGCAATGCCTCGGAGGTCAGAAGAGGGCTTCAGATTCCCCTGGAACTGGAGTTGAGGACAGTTCATAGCCGCCATGTGGGTGCTGGGAATCGAACCCAAGTCCTCTGCAAGAGCAGTCTGATATTTTTGTAGCTTGAAAACACTGGGACCCAGATGCTTGAAGAGCAGGAAAAATCATGACAGTCTTCCCACTTAAAATGTAAACGTGGTTTTATTTAATGTCTTTCTCCATCGCAAAGTACTGCTTTCTTCCCAGGGTCCCTACAAAACAAGATGGCGGCATAAGGCACGCACACTGTCCACATGACATGGGGAGGGGCTTGGAAAGCGAAAGTATGCAACGGTTCTCCCCATAGCCTGGGTCCCCTCCCTCACCAATGCCCAGAGAATGATTGTCCCTCAAGCTGGAGGATAGTGGGCTTCAGATAGAACTGGGGACCACCCCGTAGCCAGCCTAGACCCCCAAATCAGACCAACAGCCAAGAAACCCACAACACAGGGACCAGAGGGTAATGGGGGTAATGAGATCAGTCCATAAATTAAAAAGAGAACAAGACAGCCGCTCCTTCACCTTCCCTGGACAGTGTTCCCTCGCCCTCCCCGGCCAGAGCTCCCTTGCTTGGACAGTCTGACTCTGTCCCCAAGGGAAGAGGACTCTCCTTTGGGTTGAATGGACACATCTGAGTGGCCATGGGATGTGTTGGGCCCCTGCCCAGTGTCTGGTGTCTGGGGCTGTCACGGAGGTAAGATGGCAGGGGCCTGGGTGGTGGACGGCAGATGGTGGCCTTGATCCTCGATGCTATAGATACTCCAGTTCCAGGGCATGCCGCAGTGCCTCCAGGTCAGCGTGGCAGGATATCCGCCAGAAAGGCATGTTGTGCTATGACACAGAAAGCTGCAGGTTAGGCCTGTCCAGACCAGTCACCCAGCCAGCCTGGAGGGTTCTAAAACCTTGTTGACAGGCCCCAGTGTGCCCAGCAACCTCAGTAAGGTTAGACCTCTCTGTTCCCTCAGGGCCCACCTGCTCTGAGGACAACAGAAGAGTTAAACAGGTCATCAGGCAGGCATCTGCAGAACACTAGGGACGGCAAGAGGAGGCAGCCTTTGTTTGAATGGCAAAGAATGGACTGGGGTGACCCGAGGGAGTGTACATGAGAAGCAGACATTGAAGGATGAATGAAGGTTTCATGGTCAGCAGGTGGCTGAAGGGAAGGGTATTCCAGGAAAGACTTTCCTGAGCTAGTGAAGGAGGAGACAAAAAGGTACAGGGAGCAGAGTGAACTGGGAACACTGCCGCGTGGCATGTGTAGAAAAGGTTTGTTCTTTCTATTTGGAGACTGTCCTGTTAATACCTAATAGCTACAGCAGTGACAGCCATTTTGAAATCATAAAGCAACACACTAAGAAAATAAAAAACCAAAGATGGACAGAGCAATACAAAGGGATACATGGTGAATTCTGGCCCCTACCCATCCCTCTACCTCGTTCTTATCTAATATTTATTTATTATTTTCATTTAATGTGCTTGAATGTTATGCCTGCATGTATGTAAGTGCACCCGTGTCATGCAATGCCAGCTGAGGTCAGAAGAGAGTGTTGGATCCTCTGGAACTGGAGTTACTGACAGTTGTCAGCCACTATGTGGGTTCTGGGAAAAAAAACCCAGGTCCCCTGCAGGAGTGACTAGTGCTCTTAACTGCTGAGTGTCTCTCCAGCCCCCGCCAGCCCCATCTGCCTCTTTCTTCCTTTTCTGTCCCTTTTAATATTTATTATTTTAAAAATTTTATGTGTAAGAGTATATTGCTTGCATGTATGTGAGTGCACCCATGTCGTGCAATGCCATGGAGGTCAGAAGAGGGCTTTGGATTCCCCTGGAACTGGAGTTAAGGATGGTTCTTAGCTGCCATGTGGGTGTTGGGAATTGAACCTGGGTCCTCTGCAAGAGCAGTCAGTGCTCTTAACCGCTGAGCCATCTCTCCAGCCCCTCCCTTTCTTTCTTTTTAGGTCTTTTTGAGACAGGGTCTCCCTGTAGCCCCAGCTGGCCTGGAACTCACTATGTAGACCAGGCTGGCCTTGAATTCACAGAGATCTGCCTGCCTCTGCCTCCCAAACACTGGGACCAAAGGCATGCGCCAATACGCCCAGTCTCTGCTTACCTATTTCTAAATGTGTTAAAGCCACTTGGACATGGGTTTTCTGCTGAGCTTCCTCAAGATAGTCATTGGCCTGGTGACACCTGGTACCTGATGGGTGAGTAGATGGGTGTGCATGGTGCTGGTCTCATGAGGCCTTGTGCCCATAGGCCACCACACCAATCCCTGTCCTGCCTCTGGATGCTGTACTTATTACCCTGCCAGCTCCAGTTCACTGCTTGACCTTCCCGTCCTGGTCTAAGAGAAGTGGAATGAGGGGCTCAACCCCCAGGGTATCCAGGTCCTCATCCTGGGCTTGATGGTGAACATGTGGCCACACACAGCAAAGGAGGACTTTGCAGATGGAATGAAGGTGAGAATTCTGTGATGTGGGTAGATGTCCCTTTGTCCTCTGGTAACCCCAGTGGGGTCTACTGCATGGGTGCACACACCCATGTGGCTTTCATTCAAGACACAGGTAAGAAATGAATAATGTAATCACTCAGTAGTTACAGGAGGAAGTGAGACATGGCAGGTAAGAGGAGCTATGAGTGTGTGCATATTGAACTTGTGTGTGTGTGTGTGTGTGTGTGTGTGTGTGTGTGTAGGCCAGAGGTGTGATGTCACGTGCCTTCCTCTACTGCTCTCCACCTTGGTCTCTTGTTAAACCCAGAGGTCAGCTAGACTGGCTGGCCAGTGAGTTTCAGGGGTTCACCCGTCTCTGCCCCCAAATATCCAGCTTTCAAAAATTTTATTTATTTATTTATTTATTTACTTATTTATTATTTGTATGAATGCTTGCCTGTATGTAAGTGCACCATGTGTGCAATGCCTGCAGAAGCCAGAAGAGAGTGTTGGATCCCCTGAAACTGGAGTTACTGACGGTTGTTAGCTGCCATGTGGGTGCTTGGAACCAAACCTGGGTTCTCTCGGTTTTTTTGTTTTGTTTAGTTTTTGTCTTTTTGAGACAGTCTCCTTGTAACCCTAGCCGGCCTGGAATTCTCTACGTAGACCAGGCTGACCTTGATCTCACAGAGACCCACCTCTGCCTCCTGAGTACTGGGAGTAAGGTGTGTGCCGCCATGCTGGCCAGCCCTCAGCTTTCTATTCATTTCTATACTTTTTACATAGCCACTGAAGATGTGAACTCAGGTCCTCATACTTGCACAGCAGGCCCTTCACCAGCTGTGGCATCAAGCCAGCTCCTGTGTGATGTGTCTAAAGTTGGAGAAATACACTTTGAAAAGAAGTTTTCAGAGTGAAAACTGCGGCCCTTCTGGTGCCCTGGTACTCCTTGACCTCACCTCTCATCCCTGTCTCCTGGCCGCCTGCGCAGCCCAGCTACCTGCTGGCTCTACCCTGCAGATGTCGACGCTTAGTCCCCTGGAATATTCTCTCCCTGATACCCACTTGGCTCATACCCTTCCCACTGTCTTTGTTCATACCTCACCTCTCAGTGAGGCCTGTCTTAGCAGCCACCTGCACCTACACCCTGCCCCCACCCCATTCCTTGCTTCATTTTTTGCCAAGCTCTTGTCACCGTGCCCTGCCATGTATATTACAAATCTAGGCTGTGTGATGGCTTAGGGGTGAGGTCAGGATCCTCTGCCTAGCACAGTGGCTGGTATACAGTAGGTGCTCTGTATACATGGCTCCCCCGCTGGTTGGAGCATCATAGGCCACTGCTCTGTGACAAGAGGGGACATGAACCAGGAAAAAGAATATTGCAACTAGGGGCAGGGTCACAGGCTGGTGACCTAGGGGGGTGAGAGAGGGCAGGAGTGCCTGTGGAGTGTCCTCACCCCCACATTGTTTTTTCTTATACTTCCTCAATGGAACCCTTAATCTTCATTTCCTTAGGAGCTGTTACATGGGAGTGAAGGGAGAACCAGGTCCCCGAATTAAGCTCACTGACATTAACAGCAAGCTTGTCAGGCCTTGGGGTGGGGTTGGCATGGGGTTGGGCGCTCTCTGGGGTGCTGTTGACAGGGCCAGATTTAGGGTCGGGGCAGCTGTTTCTTTTCCAAGAACAGCGCTGTGGCCACCAGAGCCCCCAGCATTCTGCTGGCCGCTGAGATCACAGAGATGGGATTGTCTTTTTCATTAGTCTAATGCTGCCTTTATTAGCTGGGAAATGTTTCTGGAACCTGTGGCCCCTGAGCACGAGCTATAAAGCCCGCACATGCACCAGCCCCATGGCTTGTAATGTCCCAGGGATCTGGAGCTGGACCAGGACCGTGAGGGGGATTTACAGGAGGAAATGACTTGGGATGCTTGTGATCTGCAAACGTGAGCAGCCAAGGGGCCTCGGAGAGCAGGACCTGAGAAGGCAGGGAAAGGGTGGCAGGTGTGGGGCTCAGGTACCTTCTTGGCGCCTTGCTCCTCTTCCACGCCGTCACCTATCACGATGTAGACAGCTTTGCGGCCGAATCTCTGCATGATTCTTTCAAAGCAGCTCTCTTTGCCTACACAGACGGGGGAGGAAGGGAGACCAGAGCTAGCAGCACCCACAAGGGAATGGAAGAGTATAGGTGACAGGTATCCACGGCAGCCACTGGCCAGCAGCCAGCCTTTCATCTCTCAGCAAACTGAGCACTGCTGTTGACCCCACAGGAGGGGGCCAACTCCAGAGAAACTCAGCAGCTTACGCCCAGAAAGAGGTCGAGCCAGGTGGGGCCCCCCGCCTCCAACATGGCTGCTATTTGGGCCTTGGCAGCACACACGAGGAAGAGCGTGCTGTCCTGGGTCAGATTCCTGGCACCACAAACAAACCCCAAATCAAAAGCGCACAATGGTAAGAATGTTTATATTGTAGTTGGATGTAGCGGCCGTCATCCCAGTGACTCGGAAGGCTGAGGTAGGAGGATCCCAAGTTTAAGTGAATTCAAAGCCAGTCTAGGCAACTTAGGGAGACTCTATCTCAAAATAAAAAGTAAAACTAGGCCTAGGGAGGTAGCTTAGAGGTACAGTGCATTTGCAGCATGAGCAAGGCCCTAGATTCAAGCCCCAGCACCAGAGACAGAATTACATTATTTTACCACAATGAAAAAAATGTCAAAAGGTGCTGGAAAGATCACTCGGTGGATAAGAGAGCTTGCTACGCATGCATGAGGGCCTGAGTTCAGACCCCAGTACCCATGTAGCCTTCCTATGAGGGAAAGAAAGCCACCATTCCTTAGAATAAAAAGTGGGTGGGGGGACGCCTGCAGGGCCATTGAGTCTCACTCCATTCAGCCCTGTGATGTAGGTCCCTTACGTCCCCATCGTGTCCCATGAACAAAGGGCTTCCAGAGTTGTTTGGGATCCAACTCACGTGATGTAGTGCCCCACCCTCGGCTCACCCCTCCCACCTGTTTTGGTGGCACTGTAGATGTTCTCAATGGGGAACACGGAGCCCAGGCCGTACAGCAGGACCTTGGCCAACGCAGGGATCAGTTGAGTGGTGGTGACCAACACATTGACACAGTTGGGCCTGGGGACAAGAGACTGAGTTAGACCCAAAGGCCTAGAGTTCCAGGTCAGTTTGGACAGGATCTGGGTGGCTGGTGGGGCCACCTGCAGCTGGGGGGATGGCAAGGGACCCTCAACTGCTGGCTCATAGCTGCTGGGCCTTGGCGGCCTCTTCCCCTCATTCAGAACAAGTTTATGATCAAAGGAGTCACAAGGCCACAAGCTGCAGGGCTGTAGGTCACAGGAATGAGTTTCACGGAACAAGTGTGGGACCATAGGACAGGTGGAAGCTGGGGTCCACGGGACAGCACAGGCCAGTTCTAAGCTTTTGAAAGGACAGCAAGTGCCTGCCACTCACAGCAGTTGTCCACTAGACCTAGCCGAGTGAAGCTCTAGCCCACACTGGGAAAATGTGCAAGTGAGAATTTGGGGAGCCCAGCCTCCCAGGTATTGAAATGGAGGTGTTACCACTGCACTGGGAGGAAGCTTAGGGGCACAGGAGGCTTGCCTCGAGTTGATGAGGTTAAGGGCCTTCAGGGAGTGGGTGAGCCAGAGGTCAGTCAGGGCCTCTAGCTCGCCACGCAGCTGCAGCCATGTCTCTCTTTTGGGAGCGCCTATTAAACCTGTGTAAAGGGAATAAAGAGGAAGTCAGCATGTTAGAAAGATCTGGACGAGGCAGTCAGATCCCTCCAGTCAGCCTCTTCCGGGACATGAACCTCTTCTTTCTAAGACTTCTTACAACTAGGATTTAAAACTACATGACCACATGTTTGACGTCAGCTTAGTCCCGAGACTGTCTGCCCGGTCAGGACAGGGCCAGGAGGGTCTTGTGGGCCATCACAGCACCCTGGATGTGAGGTGGCACATGCTTGGTGTTGAGCCAGCCTGTGCTGAGGGGAGAGTGTGTTCACTGGAATGCAATGCTGTTGTGTTCCTTGAGCCAGCCCAGGCCATGTAATTGTGACCAGCTCCAGGTGGCTGCTCTGGTGATCTCACCTGGTCATTAGACTACACACCAAGCATGGCCTAGAGGGACCCAGGCCCACCCTGAGCATCAGCCTCGATGGGTGGTGATGGGGGGCTCGGAATCTGCATCCTTCCAAGCATCAGGCGGGGCCCAAGCTGCTGGTATGAGAGGCTTTGGTGTTAAGGATGAGTTCAGCTCTGTGGGGAACCAGTGTTCTGGGACTGGGTGACATCAAGCCAGCTGGTAGTGGTGGCAGACATTTGTAATCCCAGCACTTGGAGGGCCAAGGCAGGAGGACCTTGGTTTGGATCTCCAGCACCCACAGAAAGAGCTGGGTGTGGTAGTGCCAACCTGTGATCACAGTGCCAGGGGAGGCAGAGGCAGAGGCTCCCTGGGGCTCAATGGTCAGCCAGCCTTGTTTAATCAGCAATCTCCAGGTTCAGTGAGAGTTCAGTCAAGTGGAATGTGGTTGAGGAAGATACCACACATTGGCGTCCACATCATGCATGTACATGTATAAACACATACACACACACACACATCAGACCAAACCAAACTGCCACCTGGTATTTATAAAACTCTCATAGCAGTGCCTGGCCCAAGGCAGGGTTCAGGGGCATCCCCCCCCACTCCTTCCTCCCTTCTGTCCTCCCCTCTGGCTGGTCACTCACCACCCACATTGTTGCGGTAGGTGTTGTATACTTCCTTCACCCTGCGGTATCGGAAAGCCAGTTTCCTCATCCAGTCCACACCGCCATGCACACCTGTACCTAGGCATAGGCTGGCCCCTGGTGCCGTGCTATGGAAGCCATCAGTGGAGAAGTTGTATGTGCTGGGGAGATAGGAATGGTGGTGTTAGTATGGGGAGACCCAGGTCCCTGAGCCCACTGTGGGCCTTGAGGTATCTGTGTGCACCTGGAGGAGGAGACCCCAGCTCTCATCAGATTTCCAAGAAGGCTATATGCTTTGTTCTGGCCAAGCAGCATCTGTGCTCCCATCTTCTGGCATCAAACTGTATCCCTAGGTTCTTTGGAGGAGAATTATCACCACCCCTACATACAGAGTCTCTATCTTTACCCCATGGAATTCCAAGTTCAAATGAACCTTGCTTGCTGACAGCCAGAGTATTTGTCATCTTGGGTTTGACCATTAGTGCTCCTCTCATCCCTAAATCTAAATAACACTCCTCATAAAGTACTGTTCATTCACAAAAGGAAATTTGTGAAGATAAGAGAAATCAGAGATACAGCTCATATATCTTTACTATTTTTTTCTTTTGGTCTTTTTGAGACAGGGTCTCCCTGTAGCCCCAGCTGGCCTGGAACTCACTGTGTAGACCAGGCTGGCCTTGAACTCACAGAGATCCGCCTGCCTCTGCCTCCCGAGTGCTGGGACTAAAGGCGTGTGCCACCATGCCCGGCTCTCTTTACTATTTTTAAACCTCTTAAATTTTGAGATTTGCTTCATCTTTAAACACTGTAAATTACACTCCTGAAGCAATGTAACTTAGAAAGTCACAGGATAATATATATCAATATCTATCCATCTATCTTTCCATCCATCCATCCATCCATCCATCCATCTTATCATCTATCTATCTATCTATCTATCTATCTATCTATCTATCTATCTATCTATCTATCTATCTATCTATCTATTTATCTATCATCTCTCTATCTATCATCTATCATTTATCTCTTTAAAACTTTTTATTTGCCAGACGTGGTGGCACATGCCTTTAATCCCAGCACAGAGGCAGGCGGATCTCTGTGAGTTCAAGGCTGGCCTGGTCTACATAGTGAGTTCCAGGACAGCTGGGGCTACAGGGAGACATACATGTGTATGTGTATATTGCCTGTGCGTAGGTAAGTGCACCCATGTTGTGCAATGCCCACGAAGGTCAGAAGAGGCTGTCGGATCCCCTGGAACTGGAGTTACGGACAGTTGTTAGCTGCCATGTGGGTGCTGGGATTTGAACCCGGGTCTTCTGCAAAACAACCAATGTTCTTAACTGCTGAGCCATTTCTCCAGCCCTATCTCTTTAAAAATTTTAAAAGCATATATTTCATAGGCAGAGTGTGGTGGCACATGCCTTTAATCCCAGCACTTGGGAAGCAGAGGCAGGGGGATCTCTGTGAGTTTAAGGTTAGCATGGTCTACATAGTGAGTTTCAGGCCAGCTGGGGCTACAGGGAGACCCTGTCTCAAAAAGACCAAAAAAAAAAGTGTATATATATATATATTATATATTTATATATATTTTATCTATTTATTTGTCATATATCTACCTATTTATTATCTATCATCAATCACTCATCAATAATCACCTATCAATCATCTATTTGCCTCTCTATCATCTATTAATCAGCTGTCAATCACCTATCTTGTATTAATCAATCTATCATCTATCATTCATTTATCATCTATCCATCTATCAGCTACCAATTATTAATCAATTTATATATCTTTATCTATCTATCATCTATCTATCTATCTATCTATCTATCTATCTATCTATCTATCTATCATCTACCTACCTACCTGCTTACCTATCTCCATGTAAAGACTCCTTTGAGAAGCCCATACTCAGACTTGGTATGTCTTATTCTTTCTCTAAGCATTTCTCTTTCTATTAACCTCTGTGTTTAAAATCTGGGACTTCGGACATGGCTCACTGGGTAAAGTACTTGTTGCACAAGTGTGAGGACTTGAAGATCCTTAGCACTCATGTAAAAAGAGGCATATAGAGGTCTATTACCTCAATGCTGGAGGCAATTTTGAGAGGCAGAGACAGGCAGATGGCTGGGGCTTGCTGGCCAGGCAGTTTAGCTGAAATGGTAAACTCCAGGTGTGGAGAGAGAGCCTGTCCCAGGTAGAATGTGACAGAGGAAGCTAACACTGACTTCTGGCTTCTACACGAGCATACACAGATGAGCACACTTGCACACATGTGTATATACCACACACACTAAAAAAAAAAAACTGAAAAAGAAAAAGCTTCAAGTTGGCTTGTCCCGAAATTCTTTTCTGTGTCAAAGCCAAGAATCTATCTTTTCTTGAGTGGAGGTCCCTAAGGGGTAGGGAACTCCTCAGCTTGGGAGCAGAAATGTGCCTCTGTCCCTAATGTAACTGAGCATCTCCCTTCTAGGGCTACTGTGAAAGCCCATGCATTTAAGCCAGGGGAGGCCTCAGGAGCAGCACGTGACACAAAGGCTCGACGCGGCTGATTGCTAACTAAAAGAACAACAGCAAACTCCCCAAAACCAAAAGGCAAGAGACATCTGATGCTTGGTGCCCAGCACATAGTAGGTATACAAGTCAATATTTCTTATTTGTTTTAATTTTTGTGTATGAGTGTTTTGACTGCATGTATGTAAGTTCACCTGTGTCACATAATGCCCAAGGAGGCCAGAAGAGGGCATCAGGTCCTCTGGAACTGGACTTGTTAGCCACCTTGTGGGTGCTGGGAATCAAACCTGGGTCCTGCGCAAGAGTAGCCAGTGCTCTTAATTGCTGAGTGATCTCTCCAGTCTCACAAGTCAGTATTTCTTGAATGAGTAAGTGAGGTGTTCTGTTTCCAGAGGGAAAACACCCTTAGAGTGTGGATTCTTGAAGCGATTATCGAACAGGAAAAGGCAGGGCCCCAGAGGAATACCTGCATTCCAAGTCAGCTAGCTTCAGCAGAAAATGAAAACACAGCCCTGGTCACTCACTGTATTCAAACGAAAGGTTCCCAACTTCATGGAAATGGCAGCTGATTGGTGTCTACTTACTCTACAAGTTGAGGGGCTGGCACCGCAGGCTTGGCTCTTGCCAGTCTGACCTAGAAGGGACTTCCTGATCAGAGGAAAGCAGGTGCCTGGCTACCCCATCGATTCTGACTGTGCCAGGCCATGGGAGGCTTTCAGAGCCTAGCACCGCAATGCTCATTTCTTGTTCATTTTTGTGTGTCATACTGACTGAACTTAGGACCCTGTACATGCCAGGCAAATGCTCTACTATTGAGTAACAGGCCCAGACCTTTAAATTTTATTTATTTTTTGAGACAGGGTCTTACCAAATTGCCCATACTGGTCTTGAACTTGTAATCTCCTGCCTCAGCCTGGATAACAGACCTGTGCCACTAGGCTCAGTTTGCTTGTGGTTTTAAGCAAGTTGGGAGGCGCGCCTTGGAAGCAGTGCTGCAGAGTGAAGTGCTGATTACGGTCTTCCAAAGCACTAGCAGGTCCAGTCAGTATTTCTGATGGGGCCACGGCACTGGGCTGTGATAATACTGGATAAACAGACATTAGTTCTGTGTATTCTCACACCCTTTCCAAGGGGTCAGGCTCGGAAGTCCCAGGGCACATTCCTCCAAAAGCTGCCTGGCATAAGGCTGCATTTCCAGAAAACACATCTTAGAATTGTTCACCCCCAGAAACAGACTCCAGTGACGCATAAGGAAAGGTTTTGTGTGTACTGACTGCATTAATTTTTATTATTTTTTTGTACCAAGGATGGACTCTAGGACCTCACAATGCCAAGTAAGCACTCTACCACTGAGCCATATCTCCAGTCCCTTATTTTCTTAAACTTTTTGAGACTGGGTCTTGCTAGGTTGCCCTGGTTGGCTTTGAATTCAGCCTGTGGCCCAGGTAGATCTTGACCCTTCCATCGTCTTACCTCAGCCTCCCAAGTGTCTGGGATTACAGGACTGCACCACTAGGTCTGGCTAAGAGGTTTTTGTTTTTTGAACCCAGGGCCTTGTGCATACTATGCAAGCACTGTACCACTGAGCTGGACTCTAGCACTTAAGAAAGAGGTGGGTTTTTTTTTTTTTTCCGTGTTTCTCAAAAAAATTATTTATTTTTATTTTATGTGTATGAGTGTATTGCCTGTGTATGTGAGTGCACCCACGTCACGCAGTACCCATGGAGGTCAGAGGAGGGCGTCGGATCCCCTGGACCTGGAGTTATGGACAGTTGTTAGCCATCATGTGGGTGCTGGAAACTGAACCCAGGTCCTCTGCAAGAGCAGCTAGTGCTCTTAACTGTGGAGCCATCTCTCCAGCTCCCTTAAGTAGCAGTTTTGATCCCCCAGTGCTTACCTTAAATCCTGACCATTGTCATCGGATGAGACATCGTCCACATGAATCTGGTCACAGTCCTGTGGAAATGTGATTAGAAGAAGAAAGATAGGGCCATTAGTCTGAAATGGTATTTTTTTTTTTTTGAGACAAAGTCTTATGTAGCCCAGGCTAGTCTTGAACTCACTATGCAGCTGAGAATGTCCTTGAGCTTCTGATCCTCCTGCCTCCACGTCCTGAGTGCTGGGATTACAGGTGAGTGCCACCATGCTCATTTTAGGTAGTGCTGGGGATGGAACCCAGGGCCTCGTGCCTGCTAGGCAAACACTCTACCAATTGAGCTACATTCCAAGTCCAGTGAAGTTGATTTTTTTTAACAGTGAGTTTTCCTAAACTGAGGGTTGACAAGACCGGAGCTGGCACTCCTGGAGGCTAGTCTGGCTTTTCCCACTAGGTGAGGTCCTCGGCTTAGGTTCCAACATAAACGAGCATGTGGCTACAAGGAAAGACGCCACATCACTGACGATCTCAGCTGAGCAAGCTTTGTAAATGAAAGGGGGCTTCTACTAGCGTGGCATGGGGGGAATCTGAGGCTCCCCAGACCCCCCAGGCTCCCCAGCCCCAGCTCCCAGGCAACACTATGAGCTCTGTCTCATCCAGACATTAGCCTCTGCCCCACAATCCATGAGCGCTTGCTCTGTGCTAGCCTGTGCCAGTTCCTTCCTTAGTCTCAGTTAGTGCTCAACGGCCCCCATACTTGGGAATACTGCACTACAGGGTACACAGGTTTCCATCAATCCAGAAAGTTCTATGGACAGCTCTACTCCAGGAGAAAGGAAAGGGAGACTATCCACATTCAACTCTTGGATGGGGTCGGTGAGTTCTTACAGGTAAGAATCTGTAAACCGGTCTGGAGACACGACTGCATAGCCACCCTGTGCTGCAAAGTGTGTGTGTGCGCTATGTATGTATGATGTATGTGTGTGATACATGTGACATGTGTGGTGTGTATGTGTTGTGTCTGTTGTGTGTATTGTGTATGATGTGGTATGTGTGTTGTATGTGATATGGTATGTGGTATATGTGTACATGTGTGCATAGGTGCATACATATAGAGGCCAGAGCGTCTTCAGCTCTATCACTCTCCACTTTGTTTTTTGAGACAGGGTCTCTCACTGAACCTGGAGCTTGGTTTTGGCTAGACTGGTTGGCCAGTGAGACCCCTGTCTCCACCCATGAGTTCTGGGGTTATGAGTGGGTGCAGTCATGCCTGGCTTTTTTTTTTTTTTTTTTTGTCTTTTTGAGACAGGGTCTCCCTGTAGCCCCAGCTGTCCTGGAACTCACTATGTAGACCAGGCTGGCCTTGAACTCACAGAGATCCACCTGCCTCTGCCTCCCGAGTGCTGGAATTAAAGGCGTGCACCACCACGCCCGGCATTTTTTTAAACTAAAGATTTATTTCCAATTATGTTTGTGTTGAGGGGGGGTGGTATGTCCACATGAGCACAGAAGAGGGCGTCAGATCCCTGGTAGCTGGACTTACAGGTGGTTGTGAGCTGCCTGATGTGGGTGCTGGGAACCCAACTTGGGTCCTCTGTAAGAGTGGTAAGTACTCTTAAATGCTGAGTCTTCTCTCCAGCCCCAATGCCTGGCTTTAATGTGGGTGCCGGGGACCTAAACTCAAGTTCTTATGCTTGCATAGCAAGCACTTTACTGACCAAGCCACCTCCCCAGTTCCTCAAAGTATTTTTTGAAATAAAAGCCAGCATGCGAACCTCAGGTTTCTGTCTCTGTCTCTGTAATACAGAGCCTGGGTTTCAGACATCCTGTCATTTGGAACCACGATTCGGCTGTGCTCTGGGGCCTGGCTGTCTCCTGGCAGTTTCCCCTGTGGTTCCAACTCCCTCCATAGTGCTGCATTACTTGGTCCCAGTAGGCATTAGAGTTGAAGCTCTTCCGCAGTCGTCCTGTATGAGGAAGGGCCCTAAGACCAGCTGTCCTTGACATGCTGTTGAATTATATATTTTGTTTTGTTTTGGAGACAGGGTCTCATGTAGCCTAAGCTAGCCTCAAACTCACTATGTAGCCAAGGATGAACCTAAACTTCTGCTCCTCCTGCCTCCACCTCCTGGGAACTGGGAGTACAAGCATGTGCCACCACACCCGGTTTATGTTGTGCAAGGAATAGAATCCAGGGCTTCGAGCACACTAGGCAAGCACTCTACCAGCTCAGCCACATCCCTAGGCCCTGATGAATTGCATGTAAGAGGCAAGGTGACCTTCACAGACCCAGGCACACAGAAAACAAAGTGAATGCTCCAATGCCACCCAGGGACTGCAAACCCAATACCCCACATCTTTTCTTCAGGCATGAAAGCCCCTGGGTGGGTCAGGGTCGGTTCCCAGGGTTTTCCTGATGTCAGGAGAAAGTCACGCTGGAGGCTCTGCTTTTCTCATTTGTGAGGGATTGTCGGGCATGCTAAAGTGTGACAACAGTAGTGATCACATTTCGGACTTCATAAAATACCACGACGCTCCACTAGACACTACCTCATACTTCATCAGCTGACCTGGATCAAGTTACCTACCCAGCCAGCGCCCAGCGGTGCTGGACAGTATAGGGGACAAGGAGGCTGATCGGGCTTTCAGGTAGGAGGATTGGTATCCCTAACTCTGCTGTGTTCCAGAGGCCTGGGAGTGGTGGTGATTCTAAACTGGAGGGAAGACACATCTGATTCTGGTCTGTCTCAGGTTAAAGAGGGACTGCTCGGGGTGGGGGGCAGTTCTGAGTAGGCCAAGCTGGCAAAGACAGAGGAAAGCTTCCCATGGCTTTGACACAGGTGAGATGCTTTGGGCTAGGGACCCGCTGACAGCAACAGTCATACAATGCCTGTGCACTGGTGCAGTGGGAAGTGGGGGAGGGGGACCCCTCCCATCTACTGGACTCCACAGCCCAGGAGACTGGGGCAAGTTAGCATGTGGAAGCCTTCCATGGCATCTGGCATCTAAGAATGAGGCCTTCACTATGGAATCGGGTGTATGGTGACAGCAATCTCCTGAAATACCAGGTATTTTCTAAGGACAGATACACAGAATAGCTAAGTGGGGAAAGAACAATCTAGAAGTTTACACATCTGGCAGGAAGCAGCTCCACGGGGAAGAAGCTGGGGTTGGCCTGGTAGTCAGAGGAGGGATCAGCCTTATTCAAATGGTTTCATCAAATTATTAATAAAAATTATAAATAAGGGAGCCAGGATGTAGCCCCGTGGGAGTTTTGCATGTGCAAGACCCCGAGTTCCATCCCTAGCACCACCACCACCACCACAATAACAACAAAGCAAGGGCTGTGGATGTAGCTCAGTGGTAGAGAGCTTGCCTAGCGTGCATGGGGAGTCGAGTTCAACCCTTAGCACAGAAACAACAATAAAAACAACACTTAAGGGCTAAGGATATAGCTTAATGCTAGAGCGTTCGCCTAGCATGCATGAGGCTCTGGATTCAATCAACGGTTCTGCAAATACATGTCCACATATACACCTCCTGGACCCTGAGGCCATCAATCAAATGCCAGTCCCTGAATGCCAGGACAGTTTGAGAGAGTTGGTCCTCCCCTTCTACCATGTGGGTTCTGGGGATTGAACTCAGGTCATCAGTCTTGGTGGCAAGTGCCGTTAGCTCACTGAGCCATCTCGCCAGACTTAGAACATCTTAGAATGCTATCGGAGATTTGCAGAAAGTTTATCAAGCTAGCACAGAGTAACCCAGCTTCCCCTCTGATTTACGCCTCACTGGAGCACATGCGACCTGTCACAGCTCATAGGCAACTAGTGCTGTGTTGAGATTACTGATGTTGGTTGTTGTTTTTTTTTTAATTTTATGTGTATGTGTGTATTGCCTGCATGTAGGTAAGTGCACCTGTGTCGTGCAGTGCCCGCGGAGGACAGAAGAGGCTGTCAGATCCCCTGGAACTGGAGTTACAGACAGTTGTTAGCTGCTATGTGGGTGCTGGGATTCGAACCCAGGTCTTCTCCAAGAACAGTGTTCTTAACAACTGAGCCATCTCTCCAGCCCTGTGATTTTGGTTTTCTATTCTGGTTTCTGTGTTTTATCCTTCCTCTTTGGAGGAGGTCACTATACCTGACTCCCACAGAGGCTGCAGGGTCTGCCTCCTGCAGATGTCTCTCTCTTCTTACGTGTTCATGTGCTCAGTTATTATCAGTATGGACCATGGGAGCTTATTCCATATTGTGGGTTAGAATTCAATAGTGTACTATTGATTACTAACCTCTTCCAGCTTTGGCTGCTGGGGACCCTTTCAGTGCATTTGACATAACCCATTATTGTGGGGGTTTGAGATCTTCCTTACTTTCTCGTAAGCCTCATACCTTTGCCTCAGCAGCAAATCCTATCTGTGCCCACCACAGCCAACCTTTCTTTCTTTCTTTCTTTCTATGAATTACTTTCTTTCTTTACCCATTTTTCTAAGATATAGGGACATTTATTTTCATCCATCCATCCACCATACATCCATCCATCCATCCATCCACCCATCCTCCCTCCCTCCCCCCCCCCCCCCCCCCGCTTCCAGGCTGGTCTTGACCTCCTGATCCTCCCTCCTCTGCCTCCAGAGTGCTGGAATTGCAGGTGTGCACTGCCATACCTGGTTCATATTTTCTGACACTACAAGATGCTCCTGGTTCATCTTGCCTACTCCCTGTCCATCCCCAGAACCAGTTATTTCTTCGAGGACCCCAGGTCTTCATGTTGGAGAATGAATGACTAGGACCTGGGTCATGGATGGCTGCTGGGTGTCAGTGTTTCTGGGCCTTCTCAGATGACTGAGCAAGTCTGTCAGTTTTGCTTTTTAAATTATAAAACACAATTGATGAACACATTCGCTTGCAGGTTACAAGGCCAGGGCCAGGTGCTCGGCTAACAGCAACAATTACAGTTGATCTATCACCTCCCACCAGTGTTGAAATGGAAGCTCAGATGAGATCTGCACCTCTCTCTGTAAAGGGTCACAGGTCAGGTGAAGGAATCCTCTGGGATGGCAAGAATTTGTCACCTGCTTAAAGTT